ATAAATGTAAGAAATTTTATACATCTTCTGGAAATTGGTTATTTTTTTTCTTATATTTTTCATACAAATTCATTTTCTATTTTTTTTTTTTTTTTTTGTTCTCAATTTGAAAAAAAAAAAATAATAAAAAAATTTAGATTGTTCTTTAAAAAAAATATAACCGAAACATTTACCAACGAAAATAAAAATTTATCTATATACACACATGCATAAATATTTAGCTAAGATATTTTGGGTGTGAAGTACGCACTATGCCTCTATATTTTGCTTTTGGCATTGATCTTTTATTAGCCGCACGCTATGCCAAAGTGATAAACAATGAAGGATGCGGTAAAAATGGATCCACAGTGGCTGTAAGAAGATGAATTATTATTATTTTTTTAATTTTTTTTTTTTTTTTTTTTTTTAAATTAGATTTCTCCTTAGTTTTTTTTTAATACATATTAGGCGTAATAATGTACATATAAATAAAATAAAATAAAAAAATATTAAAAATTCTTTTATAAAGATTTAATTGGCTGTATATTATAAAGAAATTATAAAAGTCTGTCTGGTTTGTCTTTGTCTTTTCTCCTGTGTCTGTCTGCTCCCATTTATCGAATTTTTTCTTTCAGTTTTTCCTTTTTTTTTTTTTTTCTTTTTAATTTAATTTTTCTGTATCATTATAGTAAGAGCTTCTTCTAATGTATGTTAGTACATTATTTTATAATAAATGTATTATGTATTTGTCATGAAAAATTATCACATTTATCAATTAAAGTCCAAAAACATTGTATACGTTTGCTTGCCTGCTTGCTTGCGCTATCTCTTTTTTCGGTCGTTGTGTTGTTTTCTTCATGTGCTTGTTTGTTTTTTACAACTCTTTCATTCATTTCGGATTTAAGTCTTTTTTGCTTCTTCCCTTATTTTGGCATTTTTAATTCTTTCCTTTTTTACTTTCTTCTATTTTTAAGAAAAAAAAAAAAAAACATAAAAAACTAGTATTTTTTGTCACTTCTCTCTGTTTCTGTCACTGTTCTCTTGAAATTCATTAAATTATAAAAAAAAAGACACCTAACACCCTCTTACTGTAATTTAGAAGAAAAAGCCAAAAGATGTGTTTTGAATAATTCATGCAATGTTCCTACAAAGGATTTCTTAATATAACTTCACATTAATTTCTATTTTTTCCTTTTGTTTTTTTTTTTTTTTTTGTACATTTTTTCTTTTTAATTTTTTCTTTTTAATTTTTATAAATTATCTACAAATTAAAAATGAAATGTTTTATACAGAAAATGCAAAACTCTCTCCAATCCACTATACTTAGCTAATTAATTAATTAACATTAACATCATAATAGCTAAGATCGATTCGATGAAAATCTCATGCAACGTATATGACGTAATCGAAAAGAGATTATAAATTTCGGAGAAATAGTGAGAGTTATTATTGAAAATGTACTCGGTAAAGTTAAAATTCCTTTTCTTTAATGTTTTTATATTCATAACTAATTAATTAATGTTTTTAATTAATTTTAGCGCTAAACGGCAATATACCGATTCATAAGATTCCCGTGTCAATGTAATCCATGAAACAAAAAAAAAATGTTATACGTTCTTTCGCCAAAGTATTTACAACTTTGTTGTTTTTCTACGCAGATTTAAGGCTTAATTAAGTTCCAAAACTGTTGCGTTCATTTAAGGTAACGACCTGTCACGGCATTCAATGCAATTCGCAAAAATTTTGCTATTCAGTGTTCAATGTATACCAGCGAAGTAATTCTACGTTACGTGTAAGTCATTCGACGTTAGAAAATTTGTACGCCTCGATGTCAAGGATTTTCAATAAGATGACTTCGTACTTTGATTCCTGCAACACCAGATTTTTAAGGACATTTACTTAGGTCCGCAATGCTAAAGAATATCAGATCTTTTGGGATTACTTTCCAACGTAATTTTAGCGAAAACTGTCGATTATTTGGGCCAAGTCCGTCAACGCTTCAACTTAACTAAAATAAGAGTTAAAGTGAACTTCAAATAAGTTGGTAAAGTTGTTAGCAATCTCTACAAGATTATAAACAAAAATATCTTCATGACATCGTGATATTCAATATTAAAATAAACCAACCGTCTCACGGCTATCTTAGAAATCCTTGTAGTAAAGAATGATGCGGATTCATTAAATACGTCCTTAATTGACAGCCACATGCGAAATTTTGAATTAACCGCCACTCAACTAAATTGTAATTTCTCATCTATAACAGATTAGTATGTAGAGTATTATTAACCCTTATACAGTTTATCACATAAACTGATTCAAAGAATTTATGCATTCACAATTAACAAAGAAATATGCCAGTTTCGAGTCTATTCAGATGAGTTAATATGGTAGTAATGAATTCCCAACCGAACGAATAGAAATTTCTTCGTTTTTATTTTCAGCATTTTTTGCAATGCATCTCACATTTCTTTTCCAAACAAAATTGTGTTCGTGTGTCACCTTCTTTTAAAATCAAGTTAATACAATAGCATCTAAACCTGTTAAGTTGTTTGTGAATTTTGAAAATTCTAAAGATGCAATGAAAGCTATGCAAAAATATTCTAACGAAGATAAAATTGTCAAAGTTAAATTGGATACGTCGATCAAATATTTTTCTATATGCTTCTGAATTTATGGAACAAGTTCTCTTAGACAGAAAATAGTATGACTGAATTGCCTTATATGTATTGAATACGGAACGATCACCATTCCTTGAACCGATTAGTAATAACTTCAGATCAGTTAATGAAAATCAAAGTCGGGAAAATTTATCATTCATAATAAACAAAATTTTGAATAGTTAATGAGTTAATGGAATTTGCAAATGGAATTTGTGTTAACCATTAATTAATGTAATCTTGATAACATAATCATGGTAGACAAATGTATATTTTGTTATGGATGGCAAGCATTTTCGGTAGCGTATCCAACAACTCTTTTTTTCATCTTGGAAGAACGCAATGAATTAACTCCAAAAGTGGGTAAATACACTAGTCGCAGACATGTTTGCTTGCCAACAAAACGATAAATTCGCTGCCTAATCGAAAAGCTGCCTGTTTTCATGTTTGATTACATTCCTATATCTTGTTGACACGGGAATATTCCGTAATATGTACGTAGATTCAAATTTTCTGATCACAAATCGATTAAAAAGACTGCTTGCGCAGACACTGTTACATGATAACTTGTTAATTGTTAGAATTAAAGATAAATTTTTTTGAAAAAAAATTTTTTCAAATTGCGATATCGGAGAAAGCTAAAATACTCGTCTTTGGAAGTCAAACTAACAAATATCTTTGAACGTATATGACGCGTTTCCAAATAGGGCATATTTTTTTGTCCTTTGCGAAAACATTTCACTTTTGATTTAATTAAAAGAATTTTATAATATCATTGTCGCGTACTAAAAAAATGTATATTTTTGTTTTTATCATTTCTATATATTAATAATTTGCTGAACAAGTAGGGTACTAGCGTTTTATCGCCGAGTATACCGTTGACACTGGTGATATTACCGGCATTTATAATAGCCAAGAAATCGCCAGAGAATATCTTTTCGGAACACGCCTCTTTATACATTATCGCCTTTGGCTTGGTGGCAGCTAAAGTGACCAATAAATTAGTGGTAAGCAAATGAAATACAAAAAAATTTCTATAAAAGGTTTTTATAAATGGTTTCAATTTTCTTATCATACTTTTGTGTATCATTAAAAAGATTGCTCATATGACCAAAGCTGAAATGGAATATTTGGATTGGTCTCTTTTGGGTCCGGGTCTATTGTTCCTTAATCAATATTTTAATTGCGTAGTGCCAGAAATATGGTTACTCTGGTTCACCCTAATTTGGGCTACTCAGGATTTAATGCGATACTGTGCGCAAGTAAGAGGACAATCTGCTTGACATTAGCATATTGAAAATTGTTGTTATATGTATAATTTTCTTTTATATAGGTCTGTTTGGAAATTTGTGCTCATTTACATATAGACTTATTTACTATACCTTACCCACCACGCACTGCGGTCACTCAAGGCACTAGTACGAATACGAACAGCGCATCTATCAGCAGTTCTAGTGATAAGAATGGCGCCACTCATCACCGAAGGGCCTCACGCCAAACAAATAGAAAACATTAACCTCCAATAATTATGGTCCTGCGTATTTTAGAGAGAATTATAATCTTATGCAACCTTATTTTTTAGCATCTTTTTAAGCGCTTCTCTTTTATTTTATTCTCTTTTTCAATATTTAATATATTCCTTTTTTAATGTGTACATGTAATAGAATTGATATCCTGAAAAGGTGTAATAGGCAACTAGGAAGTTCTCTTTTTAAGTTTTTCTTTTTACATTTTCATTTGTCATTTTTATTCAAGTTATATACATTTTCATTTACATAAGTGTGTGTATAATTATAAAACAATTGAAAAATAAAAGAAGAAATGTGTCTGAATTTAAAAAATAACGATTGCAGAATTACCATTAATCGATTCTCAAGATATGAAGTAATCTCATGTCATTAATATGCAGAGTAACGCATTTACGGTGTAAAGTTAACATGTAGGCGTCATGTAGTTTTTGCTCTATATATGCTTCCGTGGCCGTTTGCAAAGCTTCGAAGGCCGCACTAGTCACCTTCGAGACAGTCGTCGAATGCTGGCAAATGATTTCTCGCACCAAGCGCGAAAATGGGAGCCGTGGTATCATGAAATCTGTACGCATTTGCAAGAGTCGAATTTCGCGTAGGGCACGAACGCCGCGTTTGGTAGGAGCAGTTTTCTTACGGCGTGACTGCGTAGCTTCACGGGGTTGTGATTGATTTTCATTGGACTCGGCGATAGTTCGTGAACGCAAGCGCAAAGTTGACGGCGTCGGTTCCTCGAATTCACTGGAAACATCAGAATCGCCTAAAGTATGTCGACTTCCCATATTTTCTTTCGCTTTTGATAATTTATTTGCAAGTTCTTTGTGATATGATTCGTGTTTAAAGTAAATTTAGCGCCAATTCATCCAAATTGTCAAACTCTAAGACAGGGTTGCTAACACTCGAAAAGTGCAAACTGCAATTACGAATATGATATTACATAAGGTACGTTCAGTGAGAATTGAAAAGAAAAATACTTCAGACCGCTTTCAATAATTATTAAGCCTTGCATATACAAGCATTTATAAATTAAATTTATCGCGCACTTTATGAAAAATTTATGATGAATGTTCTTCCAGCCTTGAGAATATAAGCGAAGATTCGTTATGTCAACAGCTTAAGGGGGCTGACGTAATAAAGCTTCGTTTTGTTTTTGGGTCTGAGACCAAAAGTTGAACATATGGAAACCAATATAAACGAACAGGTTTTTACGAGCCTATGCGGGTATTGGTAAATCATACGGTTTTACATATAAATTAACAAACATTGACGCTGACTGACTGTTTAGAGCTGCATTTTTAAATTGAATATAATTTAATTTCAAAACAAAACCTTACTTACGAACACCTGAACCAAAACAGAAGGATTTAAAATTGTGAAAGGTATGTATACTAATCCTTTTTTCTCACTTTTTACTCCAATTGTCTTATTAATACTTTTAATTCGCCAAAAATGGTAATCAGCCACGTGTATTTTTATTCACGTCATTATATACCGTCGCCGTCATTGATAAAGTGCAATGGAGCGGTAGATAAAAACTGATAACTACTTGATGGTGTAGTCGCCAACAAGCCTAACCCATTACAGTAAAAAAACCGAAAGGTGTTGTGACGTGCAATATCAGGCACACTTCTTTTTGCCGCCGACAGGTACCAATTATACAATTTATAGATGTATTTCTACTCCATTTTGTTTTCTAATGCAAATCAAGTATACATATGTAACTATTTTATATATTTATATATACAAAACATATATATAAAACATATATTATAGTTATACCTGCATATAAAAATTATATTATCTACTATACAAACAAAAAAAATAAATTGAATGAATTACTTGTAATTTACTAACACACCCATTTACCATAAGCTGACTTGCGAGCCTTCCTGAGTTCATGCTTAATATCAAAGACCATGTATTCACCTTACTTATAAGGATTTCCTTATCTTAGCGTTCTGAATGCGGTTAATTTTATTTATAATGTCGTGCACTGGTTTTACCAATACCCGGGTTGTTATTTTGCTTTGCATAAAAATCCAATCAATCATCTTTATACGGATGGTTAAGAGATAGTATATAAGTATTATTATTATTTTAATTTTAGACCAATGAAATGAATTCTTAGACTAAAAAAAAGACATTGAGCACTAGCAACACAGGCTATCGGCTCTAATTTAAATAAGTGGATATTAGATAGTGAACTTAGTAGTATTAAAAAAGTAATATATTGAATTGATATTCTGTTCTGAAGCTGATTGTAGAATGTTCAAAGGGTTAATCGCTCCAAATGCAATACTTCTAGCCGAGGAAAAGTTGAGGCAATCGCAGAGAATGTGCTTTATAGTAAGAGTTTGTCCACAACAGCAGATTGGGGAAGAAGACTTCTTCAGGATCCATTGGTGAGTTGCAATTGTATGACCAAGGCGAATTCTCGAGAATGTTTGGATCTTGGTTTTCTCAACGTTTGTTGGATATAAAGGTGGAGTTAATTGAGGGTTAATAAAAGAGTAGTGTTGATGATGGTGTTGTAAATTTCCTTCTGTAATTTTCTCTTTAACTTTTCTTCCAATGTAACTTTGAAGATCCAACTTTTCCATGACATCATCCACAATTAGAGGAGCAGAAGCAGCATACTTTGCCGCTAAATCCGCCTGCTCATTTCCCAGTAAACCGATGTGAAGTATATAAGTAGAATGACTATTAGTTTTGATATTTAAGAAGCATGTTCATACATATTCGATAAGAATATACATAAATTTCAATCAAAATATTTTTTAACATATTACCTTCATACATAAAACGTAGACTTTTCTGCTCTTAAGGTATGATTTCCATCATGAAGCATTGAAAATTATACCTTTTTGTCGTATGAACTTCAGTTTTCGTTATATGACCGGGGTTTCAAAAATTGACCAAGCTGGTCGAAAATTTTCATACCAATTTAGATTACTACTACAGTGTTCGTCCTTCAAAACAAGCCACTGTACCAAATTTCACTGTTCCGAAATATCTCAAAAATTGCGACCTGTAGCTTGAAGATAAATTTACAAGGACAGATATCAGCCGGATAGACGGCCAAGCAGGCTTAGATCAATCACATAATCCGATAATGATTTTGAATCGATCAGCGTAGTAAAAAGTGGATCCATCTTAAACCCTTCTGCGTGTTACATACGGCTGCACTAATTACCTTACCCTGTACCACAAGTCGTGTAGGATATAATTGGCGCGGCTAAGTTACCGTCGTTTACTAGTTGAGAGCGTTGCTTGACGACCGTATTCTTATGAGCTACAAGGCAAAGTTTTCTGTGTAGTGTGAAGCCTAAAAAGCAGATAGATTCCACATATGGTATTGCATCCGTTGATGTGAATGGTAACTTGTTTGCGTTTGTTAGAGAAGGTTAAGCATTTCGTCTTGCGACAAGAGCTGCAGAGACTCTAGATTGGTAGTAAAGACATCTAAGCCGGATTGAACGGTTTGTCTGGCAAAATTAGCATCAGAGTGGAAGCTGAAAATATCAAAAGTGAGGGTGATTGACGCGGTCGCCAAAGTTTCATTTTTTAGTTTTCGATCTTTTTTTATGTTAGACATTTTTTGCAACTGAAGGGATGGACATCCTTGGAGTCGATAAATTCTTTATCGCGAGAGAACCCGTGCGAGGACTCGTGAGTTATATCGCAGGATAAAGAGGGTTTTGTCTTGGCCTGACCTTGCTGGTGTGCCTTTAACGCCAGCATTTGTGGCATTGTATTGTTGGTTCGACATATGGCTTTACTGGATAATTGGCTCTGTACACGTTTACACATTAATGCAGTGCATTCGCCACGAGGCATATAGAAGTCGTGTCGAAATGAAAGCGTTTGCTGTTAGTGCTGTCTAATTTGCTAAAACCCATAAATCGAGTACCTCCCAAACCTTCGCAAACTTTTGGATATGGACGACTCCTCGAACAATCAACTTTTTGGTAGATCTCCACACCCTAGCGCGGCTTGCTCATGCTGCTGACGGCTCTGTAAGTAATGAAGCATCGAGCTTCTAGGCGTTGAAAGATGGCCAGGATGTCCTCTGTAAAATTGGTATCTGGGAGAACAGCAGTACGTCAACGAATCAACATACAAAATATCTCAGACAGTAAATCGGTGCTGCTCCTTATAAATAAGTTAGTCGCAACAAACCAATACGTCTTTGAAATCCACGATATGCTTGATGCGCTTTTATCGATCAATATCATTTTGTTTGGGTGTCGGGTCACTGTGGTTTTCATCTTAATGAAAAAGATGATTTCTATGCCCGTGAAGTGCAACTCAATGGGGAAATAATATCTGTAGTATATCGACCAAGTAAAGTCCTGCGCAAAATTAAAAATATTAAAAGAAAAACGGACCGTCTCATTTACGAAATATATCTTTTATGTCTTTCCAAACCCTACCTAACCCTCTATTTTCGTCCTGAGAGGTTAAAGTTCTCTACCGTCTAATAACTAATCATTCCTACGTCGTAAAATAATACCAGCGACAAATGTAACATAAACCACATAACTGAATCAGCTGAGCATCTAATCTCCAGATGCGAAGGTTTTACATTGGATTGACTCTCGGTTTTTCGGTACATGCAACAACCTCTATGATATCTTTTGTGCTCACAATCTTGCTCGTCTCAAGAAACTAACTGTCTTCATCAAAACTGCCGTTCTGTCTTTTTACGACTTCTTACATTTATCCCTCTCTGCTCTCACCAAATTTTTTTTTTTTACGACGTCTTACATTAATCCCTTCTCCTTGCGAACGAACCGAAAAAAAGTATTTTTTTAAATCAAAACACAAAACGAAAGAAAAAAGGAATTTTTTGGAAGCAAAAGACATTATTAATAATATCTGGTAAGTTTACGCAATAAATAATAGTAGAACATTTTTATTAATTGGCGTATATATTAGTATAACATTTTTGATATCCGTGCTTCTAGGTTTACAAGAAAAAATTTAAAGCAAAACATATGTAACAATGACCATGACCAATGAGATGTTACTATGGCTGTTTAAATAATTAGACGAAAAAAAATTTAAAACATTTATAATGTTCAAAGAGAAACATAAAACATTTATAATATAGAAGATGGACAAATTCATGATATATTTTTGCAGGAGTTGATACTGCATAAACCGCACAAACACTCTTCGAATTGATCGCCATTCTCCTTTTTCACCTTTTCAAGTTTGTTTCTACTATGTCTGGCAATTTTGACATTACTCTCAAAAATTTATCATCCTCAACCTTTCGTTTGAAGAGGTATATGTTTTTCCAGGAATACTTTCCGAAAACTCGAAAGGTGATGAACTGTCAACCAATTCCAATGGTGGTTAAATGTCCAATTTTATTTTAGTCCTATAAAAAGCAAAGGGCTTACACATATAATCCTCATGTACATATAATACTTACCGATTCGTCGCTATGAAATAAGAAACCGTACAGCGCCGTAGATTTCCTATTTAGTGCACTCAGGATAATAAACAGCGCATATTCTTTGTACTATGCTTACTGGGTGTTTGCACTTCTAGGAATATACGTTCTCAGGTTTTTTCTCTTGGCACCTTATTCCGAAAGCCGAAGTAGTCTCCTGCCCTTCGTTTACTGCTCTTTTTTTTTTTTTAAATCATGAACTTTTATTTTTATGTATTTTTTTTTTCAATTTACTTAATTTAGTCAATTTCTTATACTTTTTGCTGGTTGTCAAATAATAAAAATGCAAATAACTATTTTCATTTCACTTGGTTTTTTTTTCCTTTTGTTTATTTTTCACGCCAATAATGAAAACACAAATAACTATTTGAAAGCCTGAAATATTAACCATATGATCTCGCTTTGTTTGGTCTATCAAAACGGACGCACACAAGAATTTTTAAAGTTTCTAAAGTATCAACTAATTTTGTTTTGACAGTTTGTGCGCTTTATTTGATAAAAAAAATGAGGAGACCGTTGTACACGCATACAAACAAAAGGTATGAAAAGTAAAAGTAAAGGAATCAACATAAATGTAAACAAGAAATACATGCAAAACAACGATAAAAATATTAGTATGAAAGCACAAGCGTTATGACCGAACAATTGGTCAAAAAAGAAGCGGGGAGATAAACCTTGCTGACGCACTAAAGCAAGGCAATAGAATTGCTTAAAAGTTTTGATTTGGCAAATATATGTTATGTTAAAAATAAATTGCTTTTATGACTTCAATTAGTAGATGATAGACGCAAATTCGATAAATAACTTTTAAACCCTTTGGCTTTTTTTCTGCTTGCGTCCTGTCTGCCACCTATTTTCGGGATTAATTTAATTCGCGTGACTGACACCCAAAAGCATCATTGTATTTTCTCAATTCTAATCACCACGTGGCACAAAGTCATATTTTGACATTTGTGTATGTACCAACGCAATGCAAATGCCTTCATTGTGTTCAACATTGATATGAATTAGTTATGTGGCAATCTAACTTAAACAATGAAAAAACCTAGTTTAAAAAAAGTATATGTATAAAGAAGATAATTATTTTGTTGTAAATTACAATTCAGAGACCGCTATGAGACGAAGAAAACGAGATTAAATAATAGCTGATCGTTATCAAAACGACCAGAAAGTATACTATACGACCAGAAAAGTATATTGTACGACCAGAAAAGTATATTGTACGACCAGAAAGTATATTGTACGACCAGAAAGTAAACTATACGACCAGAAAGTATACTATACGACCAGAAAAGTATATTGTACGACCAGAAAGTATATTGTACGACCAGAAAAGTATATTGTACGACCAGAAAGTATATTGTACGACCAGAAAAGTATATTGTACAATATACTTTTTTTTTGTACAATATGCATACATTTCGTTGCGTCTCTAAAGGTTCTTTGTGGGTGCTGCAAACATTCTGACAAAACGAATGTACCACCCATCCTTTGTTGGATAAAAAAGTGTATATTTTACTATTTTTCTTTCCATTTTAATGAGAGCTGGGAGTAATCGTTTTCGCGAGATAACACCGGTTCTTAAGTAGATATATCTGCAACTACAGACAACTTCTGGAACAAATCAGTCCTCTGTCTTTCTCCAGTTCTTCAAAAAAAATTGTAGTATTGTGCACACAAAACGTTCTGGACCCGTTAGACCTGTGTGAGCAAGGAAATGGAAATTAGAACAGTTGCAAACAGAAAAGAAACAAAGAACGTGTTAAAAATTCAATGCAGATGAAATAGTAAATGATAAAAAGGATTAGAATGGGAAAATATCTAGTCACGGAAATTGTTTAAAGAAGTTGAAGATAGAGTGAAATAATTTCAACGTAAATTTGCTCTTACATAAGATAGCTTGTAACTTGGATCATCTAAAAGGATGACGTCAAATTCTTATATACTCGTACCTGTTTTGTCAGCATATTCAAATGTTTTAGATGCAAAGAAGACTTTTATAAATGTTGAAGACCCTGAAACAGAGTTGCCCAATTTGCAGCGTAAATGTGGAAGACAAAGAGAATTCACCTACTGCATTTTGTGACAGTCAAAAATTCTTACAAGCTCACACGGAGCGTTTAAAACATGTATTAATCTAAGATTAAATATGAATTGCAAAATTGGAAAAATGAAATGCAAATTATAATAAAAATCTTCAAAATTAAAAATGAGAATTGCCAAAGTATAAAATTTGTTAATGCTAATTTTTTTTTGTATTACATATGGCTTCAAAATGCACAAATAATTTTGATAGTTCCTATTTTAAGGCAGACTTGCTTTTTACAAAAACGTACGTATCTAAAATCGATTCGAAGAGAAATAAAGGATGATTATTCATATTTATATTTACGATCATACAATAAGTCAAGTTAATAATGTGCAATTGAAATGACTACTTCACTTTAAATAATCACTGAAAATAAAATACATATAATTTAGCTAAAAAATGTCGTTTCATTCTAACTAAACACATATGTACAACTGCTTAGAATTTGCAAAAATCCTGTATGCTATAGTAGATTTTCCCAAATTGCGAGAAAGGTCTAATTGTTAAAATTTTTTTATGTGCTTTTGTCATTTTCACTTTTACATTGTGATGCAAGAAACATTCAAGTTTGATGTGGTTGCCAAAGTAGTTGAAATACGATTTAATTTTCACATCTGACAATGCTGTTCAGCTACCAAATAGAAGAATAATAGGAAATTGCAAATCAGTTGTGTTCTTTCTCTCTTCTTGTCATCATCACTAGCGGTATTAGGGGGATTGCTGGCATTGTTATTGTTATATTTTGTTTTACCCGTATGAAAAAGAGAGAAATAGAGAGAGCATCACCACTTTTTAGCGATTGCTTACATGAATATAAATCTAAACATTTTCTAGATTTTTTTAGTTTGCTTTTTCTCCTTTATCTGGTCTTCATGTGTTGTGCTGGTTAGACGTTGCCGTGCAAGAAAAAGTGTATTTTGTTAAAAATTAATAAAAATTGAATGAAAATGACTTTAAAAATTGTAGTAAATAAATTGAAATAAAATTATTAATAATAGATACTATAAAATAAAATCAAAGTAGTTACAAACATAAGAAATGCCGCAAAATTCTAGATAAAGATAAAGATAGTGAACGAAAATTAATTAAAGCTGCAATATTCCTAAAGTATTTTAATAAAAAATTTGTGTTTCTTATCTTAGCAGCGGTATGATTAAATGTTTTTAGGAATTTATGTTGATATCTTAAAGTAAATTGTGCTTTAAAATGATTTTTCTTTTTCGTGGATATTTCTCCAGCAAAATAATTAAAATCTCATTTACTTGTATATTGCATATTTGTTCGTGCTCTTTGTTCATTGTGTTTGCTTTGTGCATTTCTTTCCATTTCATTCACGGCAGTTCGTTCATGTGTTACAGTTTTTATTTGTTCTTGTGTTCCTTGTTTTCCCCTTTTACGTTTTATATCGGCTGATTTCTTTTGTTTATATTAATGTGTATTTTTTCACGTTTTGTTTATTTTTATCTTGGTATTCGTTTGTTTTTGTTTGTGCTTGGAGTAATGATGCTTTTTCTTCACGTTTAATTTTAAATATATTATTATTTTGCCTATTATTCGGTCGTCATATTTTCTTGCGGAAAGCAGCGATAAAATGAGATTTTTCATTTCTTGAAAATAAATTTTCTCGGAGTCCATTTCTGTTTTTTTTTTTTTTTTTTATTGACAACGTGTTACGGCACAATTCCATTTTAGTGAACCTTTCAATTCGAATCTTTCAGGTAGAGCACCTTAGATGATATCACGAATAAAAATTATTTTGTCAAATCGCAATCTTAAGTGATTGGTTTTCTTTTAGGTCTTTGCATAAAAACAGAGTAAAGGTTTTCGATGCCGAAATAAATCAGAATGGCTTACGAGCCAGTAACTTCAATATTGCTTAACACAAAGAAACTTACAAATTTAACGTCTAGAGAAATAAACAAAGATGAACATCTAAATACATTTTTCTTGTTGTATGTATCGACGTTACTTGAAGAACGATCATGTAAAGCAATAACAATAACGTCGTCGACAACATCATCAACGTTTAAACGTTCGCCACTCAATTGCAGTCGAGTATTGTTGACATATTTGGTGTTAATCAGTTGTTGTGTTGGCGTCGGTACGTCGTTAAGAAATGGTAAGTACAAGTTTTTTCATTATTCTTCT